ATCATCCCCTCGCCCCGTGACTCCATTTGTGGCAGATGCAGCATTAGCATCATCCCCTCGCCCCGTGACTCCATTTGTGGCAGATGCAGCATTAGTATCATCCCCTTGCCCCGTGACTCCCTTGGCCTCGGCTTCCACCTCCCTCCTTCTCGATCATTCAGGTGCCCTGGCCTCATCGCTCCCGTAAGCCCTGACCCACTTCGTGTAGAGTGCAGAGCAGGTACACTTTGTCAGCAGGGGTCACCCTTCCCCTAGATACTTCTATGCCTCTTCACCTCACTTCTTTCCGGCTTCCCACAGTCAGATCTTCCTGAATATTTTCCTTAAAGAATGGCCGTGAATTCCTACCCTGTCATTCTTAAATTGAAGTCTACTTCATTTCTCTTTGTGACACTTACCACATTTATTTTCTGCCTCCCTAGCTGGGAATGTAAGCCCCATTAGGGTAAGGAGTCTGTTTTGTTTGCCGTTACATTTCCAGCACCTGACAGCACATAGTAGGCCCCTAAAAAAATACTTGACAGAGTAATGAGTGAATTTAACAAGCAGGCACTAATTATGGTGCTATGCCAGATCTCTATCCTCTGTGAACATGGAGTAAAAATGGGCGCACAAACACGATACTGACTTGCTTTCAAACTTTTGATGCTGGCTTTTTGCAAAAAGATTTATCCTACCCACCATTTTCTCCTTTTTTTTAAGTCTGGACATTTTAGTCTTGGAAAAGAGGACCAGATTTGAAGTCAAAGACACGGTTTCAAATCTTTACCATTACTAGGCCACACCCAGTAAACCCCGAAATCTCCCTGAACCTTGATTTTCTCATCTGTACCGTGGGGCTAATACTTGTTTTGCTTACCTCAGGCTTTATTGTAAAGATCGAATGAAAAAATGCATTTCTCTCCTTCCCACACTGTACTGGGGTCTGGATTCTTCTGGCAATTCCCCCCAGCCCCATCCTGTCTTGCAAGTTGAGACATTTGATCTTTGTCTTTCTGTCCAACCCTAAAGATCCACAAGGCGTGGGTCCACTACAGAGAGTGAACCCGACTTTGTCTTGCAAGTCTTCCCAACCGAAGAAAATTCACAGGAAGACAAGGCAGCCTCTTTTCCGTCCTACTCATAATTGCTAATACATAATTGCCTCAGTAACTTGATCGTCAGCCCTGGTAACAGATATGCCTCCCCTACACTTGTGAAGCTGATGGAACAGGACAGAGAAAACAGAATCCAACAGAAGAGAAAGGGTTGATTTCTCTCTAACGAGGCCTAGGATAAGGACATTATTGTCTGAAGGAAAGATATGATTGAAGGGTCCTGAAAACTGAGATAGCTCCATCTCAATCAACCTTAGGAGCCTGAAAAAGAACAAAGAATCTCTTCCTTGCATAATAATAACAGTGGAAAGCAAAATGAATCTGTTCACAGAGAATGCCAATGGGAATGTTGACATGCCATAGCAGAATCCTTCTGAGAACCTACAGGGAAAAAGGATCAGTTGTAGCAACAAGATCCAGAGCTGTCCCAAGGAATCATGTCCCCAGGGATCATATTTCAGTGCCATCTTTCCTCTATGAGGTCAGACTGGCAGACTGGGCAGTGAGACTGGATTCTGGTGTTTTTTATGAGCTGTCATTTGTCTTTCTCCCTCCTTAGATCTCTTTTTTCCCTACTTTCGTGTCCATAATTTATAAACTGTGTAGTTTTAATGACTTGCTGATTTTATTTAGCTTCTTTTTCACTGTATTGATTGGTACTAAACGATGCACGAGGCTTTCAAGCCCTGATGTCAGCGATGAGAGTGAGTTCCAATATCGGTAGTCTGAAGCAAAGACACTGTGGTAGAGGAAAATATAAATAGAGTTTGGTGTTTTTCTCCTGAGTCTGTTTGGGGAATGAGTGTATGATGATTAGGATCTGTTTCTTTTCTATTTAAAAAAAATTGAGGGGCGCCTGGGTGGCTCAGTTGTTGGGGGTCTGCCTTCAGCTCAGGTCATGATCCCGGGGTCCTGGGATGAGCTCTGCATCGGGCTCCCTGCTCCGCAGGAAGCCTGCTTCTCCCTCTCCCACTCCCCCTGCTTGTGTTCCCTCTCTCACTGTCTCTCTCTCTCTCTGTCAAATAAATAAATAAAATGTTTAAAAAAATATTTGCCTCCTGGAGAAGTAGAAGTCAATACTAGCGTGCTACTTAAACATTCCATACAAACTCAGATGTGTTTCTAAAGAAAAAAAAGAAAACACCAACAAAACAAAAAAGACCAAAGGAGACAACTAAAAAACAAACAAACAAACAAAAAAAACAACTGCCATCTAGGTGTTGTTCTTGCCACTTCGAGTTCCTGTTTGGTGTGGCCCTTGAATGTTTGGAGAGCACGAGTGTGCAGGTCCGGGGCCAGACATCGGGTCCCTTCCCCCACCATTGATCCCCTTGCACCTATTTATCCTTCGTTTTTCCTTCCGGTGACGGAGCTAAACCCCATGGATAGCAGAGCAGTGGGTCGCTGTGTTACAGCAGGAATACGGATTCTTCCCAGACTTATTAAGGACCAGGGCCACTGACTGTCTTTGGGTTTCCTAGACTCGAGAAGAAGACAGGAACCAGGATGGGAAAATGGACTTGTTACATTTTAAACTGGAGCTTCCCCTGCAGTCCACGGAGCACGTTCTCGGTGTGCAGCTCATCTTGACTTTCTCCTACCAATTGCACGTGAGTCAGTTCCTTGGGGGAAGCCCATCCCCTCCTTTTTATCCTTTCATAGAATTGAGCCCTCTGTCCGGTTTCCAGGAAAACCCACGCTGCAGAAGGCTCTCCTCTGAGGGGTAGTTTGGGATTTAATTGAGGCAAATCGCACGTTTCTCATTGGGGCCGTAGTAATGTATGTGAGCTACTGGAGCTCAGGGGGTTTGGGGCAGAGAGCTTCCTTCATGGCCTCGCCAGCTGTTTGAGGGACTAGGAGGCTGCCACCACAGACGAGGATGCCGAGGACCCAGAGCCTTCAGATCTACCTGAAATTGTCTCTCCTAATGATTTCAGAGGATGTCCACATTCGTGATGCAGAGCATGGCGTTTCTCCAGTCCTCCTTTGCTGTTCCAGGGTCCCAGTTGTATGTGAACGGGGACCTGAGGCTGCAGCAGAAGCAGCCCCTGAGCTGCGGTGGCCTCGACGTCCGATACAACGTAAGAAGGCTCCTCAGTGTCCGTCTCTTTTCTTTCTCTCTGTGACTGTTTATCAGGTTCTTTAAAGAGGGAGACCTGAAAGTTGGAAATAGCATTTCTCTGTAGGTGGCACAGACGAGGATTTCTGAGGAATTCTCACCAGGAATTCTTTCAAAATATAGAGACAGATACACCTGTATTTGCATCTAAAAAGAGAACAAAAACCTGTCTCTAAGAACTAAATTATTTCTTGTTTGCGGGGGCGCATGTGTGCACACACGTGGCTTATTCCAAGTGGTCTTTCCCAGTTCGTGTAAATCATTGGGGAAGTCCTACTAACCGCCGTTCGCTAAGCATATAACATATGCCAGCCCTGGGTGAAGAGGTCAGACTATGTCATCTCATTCAGCGGTCACGGCCGCCTCACGAGATGCCTGCCCCTGTCATTTCCCAGCTCTCCAGCCGCCCGTCCTGTCATGGCCCCCCGTGCTCCTTTCTAGCCAAACCCGCCCTTTTGCTGTGCCTCAAACCCACAAAACAGCTCCTGCCCCCGTTTTTGCCCTTGGCCTTTCACTCTGCCACGTATCCGCATAGCTTGCTCTCCCACTCCATTCGGGCCGCTGTCCAAATGTCCCTGAGCACAGTCCTTCCATGACACTGCTTTCTAAAGAGCATTCTCCCCCCTGCCCATCCCTCACCCAGACTGATTTTCCTTATTCCACTGGAAATAGTAAAGATAAGCTTTTGGCGTGTTCTCTTACTGTCCCCCCCAGTGCTAACAGCACTCACATCTCCACTGTCACCCCTAAAACGGCCTGGCACATTGTAAGCACTCAGATTTGTTGAAAGCTTGAACTCTCGTTTTACACATCAGGAAACTGAGGCAGACAGAGATTAATTAATTTTCCCAAAGTCCTGCCACTTGAAAGTAACAGAACCATAAATCATCTGTCCAGGGCTGGAACTCATGCTTATGGTCACTCATTACTAATCCTTTATCACAAGGGAGCCCGTGTTAAGTTGGGCCAGGCTACTTTTGAAAATGAAAGAGTGATCTTACCAGTTATTACAGGCATAAACCGGGATTGCTCCAGATAAACGGATTTATGGCCCCTCTACCTATAGTCAATACAAGGTTTTGTGTTTTTTTTAAGATTTTATTTATTTGACAGAGAGATAGCAAGAGCAGGAACACAAGCAGGGGGAGTGGGAGAGGGAGAAGCAGGCTTCCCGCGGAGCAGGGAGCCCGATGCGGGACTCGATCCCAGGACCCTGGGATCATGACCTGAGCCGAAGGCAGACGCTTAACCATCTGAGCCACCCAGGCGCCCGTCCCCCTCCTTTTTATTTAAACTTATATTGAGGGGCGCCTGGGTGGCTCAGCTGGTTAAGCGTCTGCCTTCGGCTCAGGTCATGGTCCCAGGGTCCTGGGATCGAGCCCCGCATCGGGCTCCCTGCTCAGAGGGAAGCCTGCTTCTCCCTCTGCTTCTCTCTCTCTCTCTCTCCACACCCCCTTGTCTCTCGTGACAAAATAAAATAAAATAAAATTTAAAAAAAATAAAAATAAAAAAAAAGGAGGGGGACTATAAGATAAAAACTTTTTATTTCAAGATTTATATATTGATTCTATCAACAGGAATGTAATATTACAAGGCAGGAGATCGTTTCCTTCTTCAAAAGATTATATGCTTATTATTTGCACTTTGTCCTATTTTCATATCTAGATTTCTCAGGGTCATGAGATCGAGCACCATGTTGGATCCGCACTCAGCTCAGAGTCTGCTCTGTCCCTCTCCCTCTGCCCCTCTCACTCATGCTCGATCACTTTTGCTCTCTGTCACTCTAAAGTAAATAAATCTTTTTAGTTTTTCAAAGGGAAGACGGAATGTAGATGATTTAAATTGCAAGGCGGACGGGGGGTGGGCAGGAGTGGTCACCCGCCATCCATCCTTGAAAAACGGATTACTGATGCTGGAGTAGGTCACCAAGCACAAGACGGTGGTCCCTGAGATCAGCCTGGGTGGGCGAAAGGGTGGAAAGACGAGTGGAGAAGTGGCTGGGGGCTTATTCCACATCCTCCTGCCATTTCCCAGGTGTCTGTAATCAATGGGACCAGCCCTTTTGCCTATGACTACGACCTCACCCATGTTGTTGCTGCTTACCAGGAAAGGAATGGTGAGTCAGTTACCGTTCTTTCAGCCGCTTCTCAAGGACCTTACAGGTTAGAATATTGGACAAAAACAGAATTGGAGCCCTTGGGACGCCTGGGGGGCTCAGTCGTTAAGCGTCTGCCTTCGGCTCAGGTCATGATCCCAGGGTCCTTGGATTGAGTCCCACATCGAGCTCCCTGCTCAGAGGGGAGCCTGCTTTTCCCCCTGCCCCTCCCCCTGCTTGTGTTCCCTCTCTCGGTCTGTCACTCTCTCTGACAAATAAATAAATAAAATCTAAAAAAAAAAAAAAAGAATTGGAGCCCTTGTCATGATGAAAATGTCAGTACCAGTGAATACTCAGTGATGGGAGGGGAACAGGCTGCCCCGATTTGTCCTTTTAACTCCTGATCTAAAGACCCACACCCTACCCCCCCACACCTAAACACTAGTCTTATAGTCCAGCAGGTGAGTGCTCCTTTATGCACCATATTTATTTATTAAGTGCCATATTATCCCACCACTGGCTTGATAGATGTCCTTTTTTTATATGAACACCTAATTGAGTTGGTCCCCACTACCACACTTATAAAAGAAGCCAAAGACAAATTGCTGTCCTTAGTTTTCAGTTAGAACTAAGGAATGTGAGTGACTTACCCCATATAAGCAGTTGAGGTAGAACAGAGGGCCCAAGGTTCTGGCTGGAAGGCAGAGCATGTCTATCCCTTACCAAGGAATAGCTATCAAGCCAGCCCAATGTACTGGACTTAGCGCATTTGGCTGGTTGGTGGTCTGAGGTTTTCTCTAAAGGCATCTGAAGCATTACTTGGCAACCAGACATCATGGATACTATACACACATATTTATCAAATATGGGGACTGCAATTCCAGTATTTCTTCCTGATTTTTTATAACACACTGGTGGCGTTACTCCAAGGCTAAAGGTCTTTTAAGACAGAAGCACTCATCTACAGTTTTTCTTTCTTTATTCCTTCCAGTCTGTCCATAGCAGATTTTTTTTTTAAATATGGCTCTTATCATGGTTTGGAAAACATTTTAGGATCCAGTTTTTTTGTACTTTTTTTTTTAAGATTTTATTTCTTTATTTGAGAGAGAGAGAGCGTGAGCACAAGCATGGGGAGCAGCAGAGGGAGAGGGAGAAGCAGCAGAGAGCCTGACACAGGGCTCAATCCCAGGACCCTGAGATCATGACCTGAGCCGAAGGCAGATGCCTAACCGACTGAGCCACCCAGG